CCTCTGGCTGGCAGATAGTGCATTTGCTGTCTCTGATTCTCCTGCTGATCTTCCTTTTTTTTAAACAGTTTCCTTTTAGTTTTCCTTTGGCAACAGTGTGTGGTTTGGAGCTGATACTCCCAAATTAGTTCTGGGGAACATGGAATCACAGATTACAGGCAGCTGAGACTGGAATTAAGGACGAAAATATAGAGATTTTTCTAGACAACTAACTTACGACACAAATAAAGAAACTGGGATTTCTTCAGTCCTGGTGCCAGAACAATGTCTACTGCTTTTGGTATCCTTCAGTCAGGAGCTGTGGCATATTCTGGCATATAACATACTCTCCTCTCCACCCACAAGCAAAAGGAATCCAAAATTACACTGCAGCCCACGCACCAGCATGAGCATTGAAGGTCACCTTCCACCTAAAATCAGAATGGCGCTCCCCCTGGTGGAAAGAGCGCAGAAGTACAACTCCTGCAAAGGCGGCCTTCCAATTACAATTTTCTGTATAACAATAATAAAGACAATTATCATTAACCATAGGCTAAAAGGCTGTTCAGAGGAAAAACCTTTCCTAAGTGTGCCAGAAGATTTTCAGGTGTGGATGGTTAGGCTATTAGTAACCGATGTTATAATCCAATAGTTCCTTATGCTTACTGAATTTAAAGCTAGAATAATGTCTTGTAGGTTTTTTGGCGGGGATGGGGATGGGGAGGAGGGTGGTCTTTTTCTCTCTAGATTTTTGATATCTGAGACGTATGAATTTACAGTAGCAAACATTGGGTAAATTGATTCATTACTAAAGAGAAGACACTGAAATTTTGCCCCCCCCCCTTTTTTTTTGCAGGTTTTGATTTTGGAAAACAAGACATGGCCCTGTGCTCAGATTCCACTCATCCTGCAGAGGTTGTATTCATATCATCACCCTATGCATAAGCCTGGGGGCCCTGGACTATCGCTAGTTTGAGGCCACCACCCAGGTGAGCATTATTCTCAGCTTCTGTAACAGCTGGTGAGTGAGCCTGGGCCTCAGAGCCAAAAATTCTTCAGTCACTGGGCTCTAGGATGATATTCAGGTAAGGCTGGTTCATCCCTTATCCGAGGAGAGTAGCAAGGCCACCCATGAGGATCAAGTCCTCAGCATGGAGGGGTAGGCCAGGACCACACCAAGGAAGGAAGTGGATTAGATAAATCAAGAGGCCTAGACTTTTACCCAATGTGGCCATTATTTGTCTTGTATTCTGGGCAAGATATTTCTCCTCTCTATATCTCAGTTTCCCTGCCTATCAAAAAAAAAGAGATTCGACTGAATGATTTTTTTTTTTTTGGTACTGGGAATTGAGCCAAGGTGTACTCAACCACTGAACCCCATCCCCAGCCTTTCAATTTTTTTTTTTAAATTTTGAGATGGGATCTCACTAAGTTGCTCAGGGCCTCGCTCTAGTTGCTCAGTCTAGCTTTAAACTTGCCATCCTCCTGCCTCTGCCCCCAAAGTCGCTGGGATGACAGGTGTGCGCCACCATGCCTGGCAGAATAAATGATTTTGAAATGTGTTTCCAATTTTGACTGATATATTGATTGGGTATCTTTCATGGACAAGTCACTCAACCAATTAAAACTGGCCTAAGTTTTAAAATAAAAAGAAAAGGGAGATATATGTAGCTTTGATCATGGCTGTACCCTGCCATCATCAGGACTCAGTCCTTCTCCATCTCTTATCTTCTCTGTTTTTATTTATGTAGGCTCTTCCAGTTCATATAGTGGTAGAGTGACTTCTAGCACCTCCTAATTCATGGGCCTTTCTCTCATTCCACCAAGTGTAGAGAAATTCCCTTTTCCAAAAAAGTTTGTTAAAGCCCTTGGGATGAATGCTAAAACCCCCCAACTAGGGTCATGTGTTCGTTCCTCAATCTAACATATGGCTACTTGAGCAAAATACATGACCAGAACAATTTAGAGAAGGAAAAGTTCATTTTGAGATTGTGTTTGCAGAGGTTCAGTCCAGGGTCAGCGGTCTCCATTTCTCTGAGCCCAACAGGAGGCAGAGCATCATGGTGGAAGGGTGTGGCAGAGGAAAAAGGCTCAGCTCTTGGCAGCTAGCAATCAAGAGTGACAGGGGAAGGGGCCACAGAGAAGATAAACCCCTCCAGGGCATGTCCCTAGTGATCTACCTCCTCTGGCCACACCCCACCTGACTACAGTTAGCACCCAGAAAGAAGAGTAGTTCTTTCAAACCTAGAAAATGGATTAATCCACAGATAAGGCTGTGGCTCTCATCATTGAATTATTTGATTTCTGAACATTCCTGTATTAACACAGGAGCTTTATAAACTCTATTAATGTGATTGGCTGGTAACTCATTTCACCTGGCCCACAAGGACATCCATGTGGACTCAAACTGCTCTACAAGGTGCTTAGGGTCCAAGAAATACTCCTGCTTCTTTCACATCATTCATGTCATTGACAGGGATGGTGTGGGTAACAGAGAGTGCCACTGAATGGAGGGGCGGTCTAGCTGAACCTTCACGAAATGTGTAAGAGTGTATGCGCATGATCTTTGACCTTGGGAATATTTCTTTTGCTTTTTTTTTTTTTTTTTTTTTTTTGAGACGGGGCCTCACTAAGTTATCTATGCTGGCCTCAAACTTGTGATCATCAAGGCTCATTCCCCAGAGTGGCTGAGATTACAGGTGTGCATCACCACACCTGGCTTGACCTTGGGAATCTTTCTTTACCTATCAAAAGCTCAGAATTAGAATAATATTCTTTATAAGATTCACAGGGTTGAAGTTCAATGACTGATATAAATCCAATCAAGGAACCTAGCACAATGCCCTAGAAATAGCTCACTAAATTTTGATGAATTATCTTGCCCTGAAAATGCAATTCCATACAAATCATCCTTCTTTCTTAAAAAAATCCAAATAAATATACCTTTTCTTGTGCATGAGACCCATAGTTGATTTTTTAACTACTATAAATTAGTGACTAAAGACTATAAACCCATGTTCATGATGTAATGGATAAGCAATAACAGATTTTAGAAAGATACAATGTACTTGCATTTCATTTTCTGAGTGATTCACACCCATCATTAGTAAGAAGAAAGAAGAATAGCAAGTAGTCACTGAGTGTTTTCCCATGCAGGCATGACCTCATTTCTTCCTTATCACTATCCATCTATCAGGTAAGGACAATAGCTGGTGCCAGGAATCCTATTAGGACTTGGCTGCATTCCTAGGCTCACAGAAGGGCTGATGCACACCCAACCAACTCCTTCTGCACCTGAGAGGCTCTATTAACATGGGTGAGCACTAGGGCTGGCCCAGGGAACCAGGAGGCATCACAGAAGGCTCTGAGACCCAACCCATGATCGGGAATATGGCAGATAATAAGTGGAGGGAAAGGGCACTGCTGCCTGAGGGAAGAGTATGTGCAGAGGTGCTGACGGTGAAGATGTAGTACCTGCTCAGGAAACGGTTCTGATTGTCTGGTTTGTTACAACATTGAAAAAAATGGAGGTGGAGACAGTGGAAAGGATAATGTATATGCTCAAAATTGAGACCAGACAATTAGAGATGAGAAAATTAGAGCTACAGGACCTGAAATATGATGGGCTTGGACCCCCAGGCTCCAGCTGGGAGCTCCTTCCTGTAGGCAGTGAGATGCCATTAAAGGCCTTTTAAGCATTTAGAGCCACACAATCACTAATATTTCTTCTGCCTTATCTCCACTAAAAGGCAGGATTATTTTTTTTTTCTATTCTTGAGGAAAAAATAGTCCTATGTGGTTAGTATTTCACAAACACAGAATTTCAGAGACCATCAGATGTAGCCCCTACCTTCCAGCAGATACAGAGCATACTCCCATTTTACAGATGAGGCCAGTGAAATCCAGGAAAGCAAAGTGATCTACATATTTAAATGTAGAGGCTGAGTTCGGATTCTCCTGAAACTGGATCCAGTAATTTTTCCAACATGCACACCACACACTCTCTGACCTCATGCAAATTCACTTACAAGAATGAGAGACCTGTTTTTAAAGTACAGGTGGTTTTGCCCACTACCTCTTATTGAATAGACGTCCCTGGTGGAGTGGAGATGGAAACCACAAGACCATCTTTTTCCCGGTGGGTCTTGGTACCGTCATACCCTCCACAGAGTGACTCTTTGAGTGAGGCCCCATTGCCTAGAGATGTATAGATTTTTTTCTACTCTAGTCTCTTAATGCTTGCTGTATGTGATTAGGGGGTCATTTAAAGGAGTTTTGATGATTTTCAAATTTCTGCCTCAGGCTGTATCAGGAGAGCTCTTCCCGCTGTCTCTTGTGGATACCTCAGAGGCTGTTGTATCTGGATGGACATTTCCTGATCCTCTTCTCCGTTTGCAGGCTGTACCAGTCTGTCAAGCTCCCCTACTTGGGTGATATCTTTCTCACCCTTCCTACAGTTCTGTCTTCATATCATTAAAACCTTCACATGTCCCCAGGTGCCGAAGCACTGGACTGAGGTGCTTTTCTCCTTTCCCTCTATCTGGTCTGAGGAATGACCCCTCCACCATGATGTTCTGCCTACCTCGGTCCCAAAGCAAGGGAGCCCCCTGACCATTGAAACCTCTGTAACTATGAGCCAAAACAAATCTTTCCTCCTTTAAACCATTTATGTCAGGTATTTGGGTCCTAGCAACAAAAAGCTAACTAACAAATATAAATGTTTCTGGAATTAAGCCAAACCTAAGAGAAGCTCATCAGGTAGGTTCTTTGATGGCAAGCAGTAGACCATAATTCTGAACCTAAACTAAAATAAAGGGATCTAGAGGTGTACCACAGAGTCAAAGGAAAAACCTAAAAAGGCAGACCTTGTAAAAGTTAGAATCAGGCAGAGCCTGAGATTGAGGTCAGAAGTTAAGTGACTCTGCCTCTGGAATAAATTTCTACCGTCTGTTACCTTTTTGGGGGCTCAATGCACAACTGCAAATTTTATGGAGAGGAAATCCAATCACATGCACTCATCCATGGGTAAGGAAAGTCAGAGCTATGACTGGCAGTGCCACCAAGACCCCCCTGCAGATAAAATAATGCCACCTGAAAGCAAAAATGGGGTTCTGCACCAGAAGAAGGTGGAACCGATGGGGAGAATGTTCAAAGCAACAGGTGTCCACACAGTGGACATCACCATCCAGATGACAGAAGTGACCAGGTAAGGGAGACTATGAGAAACAGGAAGGAATCTGATATGCCATCAGCCCCCTTAGAGAAATAGAGTTAGTTCCTTAAATTAGTAAAGATAGAGAAATTTCTAGATTGGAAGGAAACTCTGTTCAACACCCGGCCTTGTGTTCTTATAAGCTTGTTCTGGGAACCTGAGCCATGACTTCTGAATGTCCCAGAATTGCAGGCAAATGTGATATGTAAAGGCATTTGTTGTCTGATTGATTTGCTTTTCGTCTTATTTTGCTGTAAGAATTGCCAGTTCCCACCAACTTGTCAAAGAGATCTGTAAAAAGTGATGAACCTTTGTGAATGCAGAGTCTAACATGATGCCATTTTCATCAATTAAGCTATACAGCAAAGCAACAATTCACACCTTTATAGTAACACAAGAAAGAATACACTAAACACATCAGAATTGTTGCCTATGGCAGGGAAAGGAGTGGTGTCAATCACCACAATTTGTTGATCTCAGCACTAGTGACGTTTCAGGCTGTGTTTTATATATATATATATATATATATATATATATATATATATATATATATATATTTTTTTTTTTTTTACTGTGGAACTATGTCCTGGGCATTGTGGAATGTTTAGCAGCATCTGTTCCCTATACCCACTATATGCCATTAGAAGTTGTGACAAACATAAAAGTCCCCAGATGGTGCCAAATGTCCCCTGGAGAAAAAACATTCTCCCCAGTTGAAATCCACTGGTGCAAATAAATCAGGGCACAGGGAGGAATAAACAAGGAGGCAGGAGCCATACACGGACCCAGGACGATGGGTCTCCAAGAATATGATCAACTCAACCTTTAGAACTTGAGTTTCTGAAAGAATGATTGAAAAATGTTACTGCTACATTTTTCTCCAAAGTGGCCATACAAATTTATATTCCCTATTGCATATGAAAGGGCTGCTGTCCCATACCCTTCCAACACCTCATATTATTTTTTTTAAAGAGCGAGAGAGAGAGAGAGAGAGAGAGAGAGAGAGAGAGAGAGAGAATTTTTTTAATATTTATTTTTTAGTTTTTGGTGGGCACAACATCTTTATTTTATTTTATTATTATTATTTTTTTATGTGGTGCTGAGTATCGAACCCAGCACCCCGTGCATGCCAGGAGAGTGCATTACCGCTTCAGCCACACCCCCAGCCCCACCTCATATTATTAAACCTCTTCTATCTTTGACTTTTTAAAAATTTTACCAATCTGATTGGTTTTAAAAAATCATTTTGAGCTGGGCACAATGGTGCACACCTGTAATCGCAGTGGCTTGGGAGGCTAAGGCAGGAGGATTGCTAGTTCAAAACCAGCCTCAGCAACTTAGTGAGACCCTAAGCAATTTGGCAAGACCCTGTCTCAAAATAAATTAAAAAAAAATTTTAAGCCTGGGGATGTGCTCAGTGGTGTTAAGCACACCTGGGTTCAATTCTTGGTATCAAAAAATGAAATATAAAAAAAATTTAAAAATCATGTCATTGTTTCTATAAAGTTGAGCATTTCCTTACACATTTATTGGCTATTTGTATTGCCTTTTCTTTACCTGACTTTTACTTCTACTTATCAGTTTACTCTTGTGACAGTGTTTGACATTTGAGGGAAGGAGGCAAAGCTGCTGGGAGAAGATTTTTCATAAATGCTTCCTTCGTTTACACAGCAAATGCTCACGAAAGGCTAGGCACTGTGTTTTCCTACGTATTTGCTGCTTGAGCAGTTTGGATGGCCTGATGGCTGAGGACCTTCTAGTATTGCGGTTCTAGAAGCTGATGAAACTACTGGAAAGGAGAAGAGCTTGAATGGAGTGGGGGAAACAAGAGAGTGCAGAGTCAAAAAGCAGGTGGCTGGAAGCTCCACCCACAGGAGCCACTCCTCACAGCCCTGGCCTCCAGGTTCAGTCCCTCAACCCCTGTCCATTTCTGGTCTGACCCTGTTCTGGGTCCTGATCAGCCCCTGGAGAAGAGGTCTCTTCTCTGCAATGGCTTCGTCTTTAGGCTTGAAGACTCTTCTTATCTCTTTCCCTCGGGGCACCACTTTACATCATTTTAGGGGCATTCATGATTCTCATCTCTCTTTCAAAGAAGGAGGTTCAGCCAAAGAGACAGAGGTTTATTAGAGGCCATAAAAAAAAAAAAAGGAGAAAGGAGACTGCTCAGAGCTGTCTTTAATCCCCAGGTTTGGGGGGAAAAGAAAAAAAAAAAACAACTCTTATTTTTGAAAACTTAAAAAAAAAATCTTTTCTTCCCAAACTACCTTACAGGGTGCATAAAGAACTTAGGAGCTGATTAGGATGAAAATTGGGTGACCTAGTGACAACTAAGAGTAAACAAAAATAAAGCATCGTAAAGATTATATTAGGCCACTGAACATAAACGCTAGAATTTTCCAATTCAGCCCAGACTTCCCTACTTCGTCGTCTTCATCTTCATCCCTGGACAGACAGACTTAGACATGCAGAGTGACTTGTTCCATAGTCACGAATAGCCAATGTTTTACTGTCACTTTGACTCAGAGGACATGAACACCATGCTTTTCTTTGCACGTGATAGTTAAAGAGACATTCATGTCCTTTTCTTCCTATGTAGGTCCCTCACTCCTACATAGTCCTCCATGGTTGGAGGGAGATAAAGCTCAAGAATAGGTTGAGGCATCTGATTCCCATTTACTTGGAAATTTTGAAAAATAAGACAAAGTTCAATGATATGTTGCTTCCAGTTTTATCAAATCCCTGCTTCAGTACATAGAGCCATGCTGGGAGCCCTTAGCCAAGTAGGTATGACAATTTCCTTGCCAGCGTACCCCATGTTGCAGTGACATTGAATGCAGGTGACCTTGCTCAAGGACCAAGGCGGATTAGGGCATTCCCGGTTTAGGTTCCAGGTTTAAGGTTTAAGATTATTCCTGCTGGGAATAGGGCGTATCTTGCTGCCTGAGTTCCCCTTGAGTTCTCACGGGATTCAGACAGTATATTTTGGGAGATAGAAGCCCAGTGGAGGTGGATTTGGGCAGAGAACGTGGATTTCCCCAGAACGTGTTTGTAGACGGCTGGTGTGAGTTTGGGAATAAAGAGTTGCTGTTTGAATCTACAAGCTGTGTGGTGGCTCGTGATTGTGTGCTCAGCCAGGCTGTGGCATTTGGCGGCGCGTACGGGGAACTTCTGAAGCTTGGAGGTAAGTGAAATTGCTCGCCCCTGAGGAAGAGCGAAAGAATGGGTGACCAATTCAAAAAACAATGTGTTATCATTTTGATTTATTTTGTTTTTATTTCAAGTTGCCTGTTCCTAGAACTTTCTCAGGCAAACTGGGGAAAATGGTTGACTCAAGGTTTGAAGTTATTCGCCTCCGAGCAAGAGAAATTGTTAGAGGAAGAAGGCACCACAGTGAGACCAAGAACAATTTGGGCATATGTTGATACAATACAAAAATGTAGCCCATGGCTTTTTAAAGATGAGTTATTAAGTATATCAATGGGACCATCATGGTATCCTGTAGAAGGATTTTTCTTCAACAAGAAAGAGATGGCTAGTTCTGTTTACTACATTTGTCTAAGATCTTCGTTTTTACAGACATCTGATTAATTTACAAAGCTAAAGTGTTAAAATATCAACCACTAAATATAAGATCAAGTACTCTTTACTTATTAAGTTCCATAAGGTAATATATTTAAACATTATGTGTGTTTTCATAAATTGGTAAATGGAAAAAGGTTTAATATTGCTTTGGTCTGTGTCTTTGCTGAAACAAGGTTACTAAGAGTTCAGATTCTATCAGGTGTAATTTATATACAAAGAGTAGAAAAATTTTCAGTTGGGTTTCAATTATAGTATTATAGTATCATAAAAAACATGAAAGTCTTTCATCTTATTAAAGTGGAGTAATTTGTCTAAATTAGAAATTTTATAAGAGTTGTTTCAAAATGTGAATTTATAAAAAGGGTTAATGGTTAAAAAAGAGATAGAAAAAGATTCAAGATGTGGAAATATATTTTAATATAAAAGGTTAAAGGAAAAAGAAATGTTTCTAGATGAGATAATCTCTGTGTGGTAAAGTAAAAAGTTGTAAAATGCCATTTTAAAAGATTTTGAGGAAACTAGACTCACTTTAAAAGCTTGAGAAAGGAAGAAGGAAGAAAAAGGTATTTGTACATGGCAGATTGAGACAAAGCTTCTCAATGGAGTTTAAAAAAAAAAGCCTTTGGTTGAAGGGCAGCCATGTAAACTAACATTGAAGCGATTTAAACAAAATCTAAGCCTCATTTAAAAGAGTGAAGTTGTAGGTGGTGAAAAAGTACATTTAAAAGTACAGTATAGATGATAATTAAAAGGCTTTAAAAGGTTAAATTAAAGGTGGTTAAAATGCCTTCATGATGGAGGAAAGAAGCTTAATCTTAAAGGCATTACTTTAAAAAAAATCGGAAGATAATAGGATAAAAGATATTTAGATAAAGAAGATTAAAAATTTAAAGTGAAAAACTTTAAAGACAGAAGTATAGAAAGTTAAAAAGAAAAAAGATAAAGAAGATGTAGAAAGATAAAAAAGATGTAGGAAGACAAAAATTTTAAACCCACAAAATGGGAAACAAGAAAACAAAGAGGAAAAAAAAAGCAACTAAGGGTAAATATACAAACCTTAGAAAAAAAACTAGAAGATAGAAATAAGATAGAAAATGGTTGAAAATGTCAAGTAAAGGTATTTCAGATAGAAAATGCAAGAAGCTAAGACAACTATTAGATACAGACATATACTTATTAAAGCAAAAAAGAGGGAATTGGAAAGGGGTATATATCCCCCAAAGATAAACTTAAAATAACCCTTTTTACTCTAAACTTTTTAAATTTGGATTCATCAGGACTTAGTGCTGCGGAAAGACACATGTATCCAAAAAATGTACATAAGCCTAAGGTACTTTGGAAAGATATTCTAACAGGACAGTGGAAAGGTCCTGACCCAGTGATTGTCTGGAGTCGGGGATCTGTTTGTGTTT